TTTAGAACCAATCACCAAAGCGGAAGGTGAAACAATATTGAAGCAACAAATCCCCATCATAATGGTTAACGGTCATTACTAGTCCTCACATTAATCTCAACATGTCAATCATACAAATCAAACCACATTTCCCATATACATGCCACACTCCATTTCATAAACATAAATTGATGTCGAAGTATTGGAATAATAATTCAATAGAACATATTCATAAAACCAATTCATATCCACACAGGATCATAATTATGACAACCCGGTAATTACCAATATCACATATATTAAAGTCACTCACCTGGAGTCCGTGCTAATGTACCCTAGCACGATAGTCAAGGCATCACGTTCTTGTCACCGCCTGTGGCCGAGTCCAATTTGGCCAAGAAGGCCCTCAAATTGGCTCGCACCCAACGAAACCCTAAGGTGGGTGTTCTTCAATTCGGCTTCCTTGGTGTTCCAACGCCCCAACCACCAGTTGGGTCTTGTTCTTAGGTCCAAGAGAAGTGGATTAAGGGTGATGGTGAATGGTGATACTCTCCGGAATGACAATTCGTCGTCGAGAACCCCCGGGTTCTCCTACGGAGTTCTACATGAAATAGACCTTAAAAACCCTTAATTTTTGGTAGAGAGGGAATGAGGAAGGTAGTTGAGCAAGTTGCAGGTGAAGGAGGTAGGAAAATCAACTGGAAAAATAGAGGAATTGGCCTGAATTGGCCGGTTTGAATTTTGGCTGGTGGACTCACGGTTTCATGAAATATGGGGGGGGGGAAGATATGTGGCCGTTCCTTTTCTTTTTTTTCCAAATAGTTCCTTTCATGCCCTTTTAATAAAAATCTGGCAGGTTCCCCTCTTCTATTTTTTTTTTTTTTTTACTAACTTAACCTTTAACCCATGCTTCCCACAAACTATAGTTCACAACTTCAAATGTCCGTAACTATACTGTTATAATTCGGACTCGCAAACGGCTTTCGCCTATGCATTCGTGGGTTCGAGATCTATTTAAAAACACGATAACTAATCAATTACTAGTTGTAACTTCGAAATGTCAACGAAAGATAAAGATTGATTATGAAACTTCCAACTCGATAACTAATCAATTACTAAACTTATAATTAGTGGAATTAAAATTAACTAATAAAGATAACGGAATTGCGAATACGAATTTAAATTACGAAATACGTAATAAATGGTGAAATTCCGGGGATGGAATTTCACAGGGACGCTGGTGGAGAGGTTCATTTGCCCTTATCCTACTTCGGGACACCTCGTCCGAGGCACGTTGGATCTCAGTGCGTTGCAAGAGTTGATTCACCAAGGTTGTCTATTGTGCAAGGACGCTCGTCAACTCTATGACTTGTCGAGACAAGTGTTGTTCCCCATTTAGATTGGAAGAGCTTGGAATGAATGTGCCTCCTTGAGCAGTGGAAGTGTGGTAGGCTCCGGGCGCGAGATTTGAGTTGGGAAATGTCAAATCCGCAAAGAAATGTGGTGAAAATGCCCCCGGCTTGATGGTAGGTTCGGATGGTTGAGATAGTCTTTGGCCGACTTGGGCTGCTTGGGAGGCCACGGGGGCAGGCTGGGCCACGGGAGTGTGCTGCCCGGCGGGAGCAGGCTGGGCCGCCGGAGTAGGCTACTCGGCGGGAGCAAGCTGGGCCGCAGGAGTAGGCTGGGCCGTAGGAGCAAGCTGGATCACGGGAGCAGGCTGGGTCACGGGAACAGGTTGCTCAATGCGTGGTGCATGCGAATGCGAGGCTTGGGCTCGGGCCAGTGCAAGCTTGGATGGCATATCTTAGGTCATGGTAGAACCTTGTAATGGTGGTGCTGCTTTGCCTACGACCGCATTTTGCCTCATGGATCTCCACGATCCCATTTCTTAAGTATTGGAATTTTCACTTATGGAATTTTCTAAATTTCTAGCCATTATATTTTTCTTATACGTTTTATCAAAGAACCTTTGCAAATAAAAAATTCTAATAATAAGAACGTATGAAAAATATTCAAATGGACTAGAAAATAGAGAAAACCTTTTTATGCGAGAGTCTTCTACGAGTATGGATTTCAACTCTCAATGAAAGCCCCAATTTGTGGATGCAAATTTTTGCCTTCTCCTTCTTTGACAAAATTGCACCTACAAAACAATCGACACCTTTGGTCAAGGCCAAGAGCCTCACGCGCCCACGATGAATGGGGGGGGGTTTGGCCGAAGAACTTTCGATGCCAAAGTTAGAATTTAGAGAGAAAAAGTGTTTAGAGAATTTTTGGGAGTTTTGCAAGAGTGTGGACTTAGCTTTTTAGAAGAAATGGGATCCTATATATAGGGAATAAGGTGGCCGGCCCTTAGAGGATTTTGTGTGAAAATGGTGATTAATTTGGTGATTAATGGATTAATTAGAATTAATCTAATTTGTATGGAAGGTTTTGAAGGTTATGGAATGAGGATGGATGAGACAAATTTGAACTTGTTACCTATTTTGGGTGTTGGAAGTATGCCCACAAAGCCACTCATTTGATGTAATAGCTTTTGGAATACTTATTGTATTAAACTTTTATATGTTTAATGAAGGGCAAAGCTTATTGTTAATCACTATTTATTGTATCATGTGTTTAAGCAATAAGGGAATCCAAGGAATGTATTTGATCTAAGAGACAAGTGATCTAAGTGAGTTAGATTATCGAGACCATTCTCTTATGTTCATTCCTAAAACGTTCCTAGCCATAGGATTGCCAATTGGGCATTGACAATCCGCTAAGGTTAGTATGTGTTATGTTGACTCAAACGTGAGTATGAACTAGTCTCAAGTCATTTGGTGTTGGACACTAAGACAAACACATAGGTGCTCGATAAAGGTAATCGAGTACACTGAACGACGATCAAAAGAGAGTTCGAACATACATGTCATGTATGAACTATAAAGTTGCAATATGCAAAGTAGTCCTTTGACCTGAGGCATCATAGATGTCTAATGGTTAGGTCCTTGATCTTTGATCATGTCAACGACATTCCTTCGGATTGTCCACGGCATTGTTGGCGTCGAGCTATCTAGTCATGTAGGCATATGAATGCACAACAAGGGATCTCTAACCATCCATGGTGGAAGGAGAATACTCTAAGATATGATTCTAAAGTCTTTGGCCAAAGCATATGAATATGACTTAGGAAGTTTGTTCCAAATCATATTCAAAGGAATCATATAGGAAAGTATCACATTGGATAGTAGACATGAAACAAACTATCACTTAAACAATGTGATTAAGAGCATTGTATTAGAGAATGACCGTATTGCATTGTAGTTGTAACTGGATAGGTTCTCCAACCAATTCTACTTAGCTTGGGTAACCATGATATGCTGCTAGGTGTCACTCATGGTTTGTGGAAGCCCTGAAGATTAGCAAACACTAATCTTAAGGGAGAATTGAAATGTGGTTTCAATTCACAATCGATCGTTAAGAGTAACATCGCCCACTGCCTCGCTAATTGGAACCTAATGGATCGCACACCACATAAGGATGTTAGTGAAGAAATTATATGAAATGGATAAGCAATTAAATGGTTTAATTGAAGAATGGTCAAAGTTAATTAATTAGTTAATTAATTATACGAAAGGTTCGTATTGGGCTTTTAAGTTAGTTTGGGCTTCGGGGTCCAAAATTGTTTTGGTCCACTAGGCCCATTATGTTTAAGTTGTATGACAACTAAAACAAATATGGGTATTTAGCCCAATAACAAAAGGAGGCCGGCCATAGCAAGGGTAGTGGGAATTTTTGCTTAATTGCAAGTTTGCCACTAACCTAAGAGATGAAGTATAAAGTCATCTTTATAGCTTTGTTCTCATTAGGGTTTTCTAATAGAAATTGGGTGAAACATTTTCTCTCATTTTCTACATAGAGGCCGGCCACTTAGAGGATTTTTACTAGCATCTAAAATCTCTCTAAGTCATCCATTTCATCTTCACAATATAAATCTTTGGTGAAGAGACTTAGAGACATCAAGCTTTTGATGTTTTTGGAGAACAAATCATTTTTCCTCAAATCATCAAAGGAGCACTAAAGGGAGGAAAACACAAGGAGGATTCAAAGAGCTTGGAGGTGACTTGAAGGCCCTCCACTTGGGTGAATCCCTTGTGTAATCAAGGATGAGCTTCAAGGGTAAAGAATCACTTAATCTTTACTTCTCTTTAATGTTGTTAAAGAGTTTATTTTTGGTTCACCATATACTAGGCTTTGAAAGTCATGGGTTTTATGAATTGTTTTTTAATACATGCCTACTTTAAAGTGTTAATAGCTTGCATGAGTATTCAAATGTTCATACTTGTTCTTAGCTAGGACAAAATTTTTCCTTCATTGGGTACTCCTGATTTGGTTGATGGATGATTCTCCACTGCTCGCGTGTAGGAGACCCGGTATGCTCCGAGGGTAAATTTGTCATCTTTACCCAAAAATCCACATGTAGCCTTGTGATTATTTTTGGCTCCACAAAAGGCATACGTAATACTAATTTTTTGACCTCGAGAAAAAATTCAATAGGCATGGGACCAATTTGGTCCCTTCATGGCTCCAATTGTATACCCATAACCCATTAGAGTTAGTTTTGCTTATATTGCTGCTCATCAAACAATTTTTGCTCACTCAATTGCATTTACCCCTCTCTCTTTATAATTTTGGTCAGATCACTTTCTCCTCTCTAAATCTGGTTTCGACTTTGTGAAACAAGAAATGGAGAAGCTACATTCAGTCATACTTATATATGTGGTAGGGTCTGTTTATTTTTGTATCCATTATTCACAGTTTTTTGTTAATTTTTTAATCAAATTTATTATGTAATCTCAGTTGGTATCACAACCCAAACAACAAACAGATCTGTAATTTTTGGGTATTTGAGGAAGGAAAGAAAAAAAAAGTCAAAGGAAAGAGAAAGAAAAGATAGCTAGCTAGGGAGTCATGCCATAGTATGGTTGGTTTTTGTACTCCAACAGCTCCCAAGATATAATCCCATTCGCTCCCTCAAATCATGAATCATGAGCAAATTCACTTTTTTGCACAATTAGAATGGATGTACTAGCTGTGAAGATTGAAGATACCAATGCCTCTCCAAGAACTCCAATGTCGTTAGAGTCATCGTCATCCAGTAACGTTGTGGCGACCTCTTGCATTTCTCCATGTCTTCTACCCACTATAAACATATCATATTCACCCTCCGTGGATTGTATTAATGAGAGAATTTGTTCCCAACTGGTCACCCAATTCTCTACAAATTTTATGGAGGCATCATTCATTGACCTCAACCTAAACTCATCCAAGTACAAGTCATCCATTTTTTTCTCTTCTCCAGTACTTTTCATTCCCTCAAGAGTAACATCGTCGTAGTCGTCGTCGTTGTCGTTCTCATTGTCGTCCTCGTCCTCGTCATTATACTCATCACCGTCATCATCATCATCGACGCACGTTTTTGCTGCCTCTTTACTCATGATGTTAAACGTTATAACAGTTAGGGTAACCCTTGGATGTCCAGCCATCCTCCCCGCATACGCTAATGCCTCGCGGTCATCTGCCCCTCCAAAGAAGAGCATGGTAAAGTGGCGGCAGCAGTCAAAGTAGTTGGATGTACCAATGCCCCGATCCAAAAGAACACCCACGGAGCACCGCGCATTTTCCATCAAGTTGTTGTTGAGGTTCTTTAAATGCGATTTGTCTTCATCTCTTGCCCCTCCTTCTCCATCCAATATTGTAGCTTTCTTATGATACGGGATAATTATTATGGAGACACGATTGTCCTCAGCCAGGTTACATATGTCCTCATGCATCGTCGGATAAGCAGACACTGCCGTGAGTGATTGCACTGTGACACTTTGCCTTTGTTTGGCATATAACTCGATGGCATTTGTCGGAGACGAAGATTTGTCGGGAAAGTTTACATCTTTGGTCTTGCAAGCATCGTGCACTACCAACATGGCCGAAGCGTGTCCAGTTAGTTCCACAAGGTGGACAGCAAGAACATGAAGAGGGGATTGTGTTGTTGGATTAGAAGCCTCGAGGAGGTTGATGCCCGGCACATTGCGTGAGGTGTGAACGCATACAAGGACTCGAAACTGGTTGTTAGGTCCTACGCTTGCTAAACTCCTCTGTTTGTACTGCACGAAAGTCTTGGCACTGGACTTGTAAAAGTAGGCTATAAACGGGCCAACCGCAAATGTCATTACCCAAATCACCACCATCAATACTCCGAACGTTTGTTTGTTCAATGCCTAGATATGTACATGTATACCACAATCAAATGGTCATTCGTTCATAAATTATTCAAAACTTTACTTAAACCATGCGTCGTGCTATACTACAAAACATCTCATATAAGTGAAAACAGTTACTTAGGAAAACAAATTGAAAGGTGAAAGGTGAATCAGTAAATTACCTTTATGTCCCGGCCACTATTGAGTATAATGAGTGTCAATAACCCTTTGGTGTTCATGAGCACTCCAAGAGCCAAACTATCCCGGGGTGACATTTTGTTGATTATGCCGGCAACGAAAGTGCTCACAGTTTTAGTTGCGAAAGCAATGATGGTAACCCACACTACACGACCGACGGTAGCCCCAGTTTTTTGCTCTATTGGATTTTTTCTGTCACCGAGAATATCCTCAAAGTTGACTCTTCCTCCATTGATACAGAAGTAAAGAGGCATCAGAATCGAAGGCACAAAATTTCCCACCTTCTGTTTAAGCATGTCCGTAAACTCGCCCTTAGGCATAATGGCTCCTAACACAAAAGGCCCTACAATGGAATGGGATCCACAGGCATCGGTAATGACCCCAGAGAGCAACACCCCAGCTAAAACAAAGCGTATAAGCTGACTGTTGTTCCTCTCCTCTTTTTCTCTTTCGCGTACTCGGTGAACAATCCATGACAGAGCAGGACGTACTACAAAAACGCAGAGTCCTAGAAAAACCGAGGTCAAGCCCACTGCATACATCTGGACGCTGTTGATTATGGCCATTACGAGCAAAAGAAGAATCCAGGAGCACAAGTCGGTGATAACAGAGGCGGATAACGCAAGTCCTCCAACATCAGAGTAAAGAAGTTTGAGGTCCGCGAGGATTCTGGCAAGGTCTGGGAAGTTGGTAGTGGCGAGAGCAACGCCCCAGAACAATGGGCCGTTTATAGTGGGACGTTCCTGATCTCCATCATGTGTTTGTGCGACAAAATCTTGGAGGAGTAAATAACGACACAAGACCCAACCAAGTAGGACGGAAAAGAAAAAGCCAGTGAGCGCAATGCTGAGAGCCTTCTTCCCAGCACGAACTACTGGTTTAAAATCAAGCTCTAAACCCACTAGAAACATATAGTAAACGAGGGCCAAGTTTCCCATGGTCTCAGTAATCTTCAAGGTACTAAATGGGAATATAGGTTTCGTCAGTTGACCCAAAGCCCTCGTACTCGTTGTCATTCCAGCCTGAAAATTCATATTAGTTATGCATCTGCTAACATACAAAGAACAAAATCAAATATAGATGAAAATTACTATTTAATTGGCAAAAACGCCATATGTTGGATAGGTTTTTCGTGTAAAAACTATTTTCCGTTTTGTGTTGAGCACTGGCTCAGCTCATTTATATTATCTCTGTGTTCGCATGTTACGTCTAATCATGTTTATATATAAAGGAAGAGCAAAATTTCGCGTATCATTCATACCAAAATATGCACATTCCTAATTAGCACTTTCAAAATAAACAATTTAATTTAGGGGTTTTTGAACTTTAATCCCTCAAGAAGATTAAAATTTTAAAAAATACTGGTGTTAGATTAAATATTGATTTTAGTCCCTAATGTGCCCTTAATTCAAAATAATTAATGTGCATTTTATTTAATGTCTCCCATTAAATATTTAAATTTATTAATACACAAATTTTAATTTATTTTTTGACCAAAAAAGAGTTTTTTAATTTATTAATTTTATTTAACATTCTTCAAACTTGAAAGACTCAATAAATGTACCTAAATGTTAGTACCGAAATTTATTATATTGAACTAATATATTTAAATGTTAGTACCGAAATGTATGTACCTAAATATATGCATCGAAATGTATACACTGAAATGTTAGTACCGAAAATGTATTATATTGAATTAATGTACCTAAATGTTTGTATCGAAATGTATGTACCGAAATATGTGTACCTAAATGTATGCACCGAAATGTATTATAATGAATTTAATATACCTAAATGAAGAAGATAAAGTACATCAAAATATATTGTATAATAAAAATTAGTTTATCTAAATGTTCACAACAAAATATATTACGATGAATGAAATGAAAATAAAAATTATAATGAAATAAAATTAATACATTAAAAATTAGAAAGAAAAAGATAAATAATTAAAAAATCAAAATATAATTAATAAATGAGGTTATTAATGTATCAGGGACTAAAATTAGATTTTGATCTTACTCATGGTTTTAATCAAAAAGTCATCTTTGCCAAGGATTAAAATGAAGTTTTCTTTTTAATTAATTTATAGGAGTAAAATAGTATAATAACATTATTTTGAATTTAAGAATTTCAAAACTACCTACGTAGTTGGCTGTTTTTTATTTTTCTTTCTGAAGTTTTTAAAATTAAACATTATTTATATTAAACATATAAATATATTTTTTAAATATATTTTTTAAATAAATAAAAAAACAAAAAAAATGTGAAGGAGCGAATTATCAGATGCTCACACATGTGGCAAGAAGCTAGTATAAACATAATCAACCATCCCATACTAGTTTCAAGTTGAACATTTGGTATAATAATAATAATAATAATAATAATAATAATAATAATAATAATAATAATAATAATAATAAAATGTAGTAACTCACAATAATCTGAGAAATAATGCTTGGTTGGTGCAAGGGTTTGAAGGCGAAAGTAAGAATACGAGTGTTGAAGACGGCAATGCTGAGTTTTATAATAAGAACACCAAGAGGTGATAGGAAGGAATCGTTGGGTAGTACTCGCCATATCCCACCACCTGGGTTTATCGTTCTGTTATAGCACACCATTATTCTATCTTTTGTGTCAAAGTATAAATCAAAGCGTTCCCAACCACTAACACTATGTAGGACGTGCGTCATTATGTGTGTGTGTGTATACTTTTCGCAGACCAAAGAAAAAAAAAAGTATATGTACTTTTCTACTCTTTGCGTCTTTCCCAAATTAGGCAGGCTTTCAATCTCCCCTTCCTCTTCCTCTTTTTTTCACGGTAATTTATATCCCCATCCGGAATCCTTATTGAAAGGGACTAAGAAACCAGAAAGTTAAGGTCTCCGAGGAGAGATTAATTATTAAGTCCCCAATCTCAGAGAGAGACAGCAATATACTTATGCATGCTGTACGAGAAAAGGGGTGTATATATATATAGGCCCACAAAACTATAGGAATGGTCCGAATGGAGGGAAGGGAAGGCTCCAAAGGAAAACAAAATCTCGATAACGCGGCTGTGTTGTAATGTACGTATGACGTAGATTCGTTCGGCTGTTTTGGGACGTTGGAAATGTTTTTCCTGTTACGTACGTTGTCATTTCCTTTCTGCTAATGAGCCATTAGGGTTTTTTGGACTGCTATTTCCTGGGTTTTCTTGTTTTGATCGTCCTCGCTCCTCTCTTCGATACAGCTTTACATTTAGTTGTATGAATAATATTTGAGGTGTTCGTTTGATATTAATTATTCAGTATGTACAACGGCTTTATATATATAACCAATTAAATAAGCTAACAATGAACAGTTTTTTTTTTTCCTTATCAAACCACGAACAGTTTTCGTTTTTGTTTTCTATCAAAGAAAGAAAACAGGTAATAAATAAATCGATTTTCAATAAAATGATTGATTTTGCATTGAGTTTTTCTATTTTGCTCTGGAGGTGGGTTTTAGAGATGTGCGTTGAAATGATGCGAAAGAGGTACTGTGGCTGATCACTACAAAGGAGGATTGTTAATGAGGGATAGTGTTCTAGTGGCTGATATTAAGGAGCAAAAGCTGAAACTTCGTTGCTTGGATCGAGGAGATACCGTCTTAGCTTTCGACTAGTTTGAAAATTAAATCTGAGCATGCATAATGGACGAACAAACAAACTTATGAACAAACTAATTATAAACGAATATATCCTTATTAATTGAAGGAAAATATTATCATGACAGCTACAAACTGAAGGACTACATTTCGATGACTTGTTCTAATTCAATTACAAAGCACCTTATTTATAGAAATCAAAACCTAATAAGAACTCTAATTCATAAAATACCAAAATTACCCAAATAATAAAAGAAGGGAACTATTATTAGCATTCCAAAAATCTCATTCTACACTTCTCATAAGTATATTTTTCTTTCTAATTATAGAAAGTTTAGAGTTGCAAAATGAGATTTTTGAAGTGTCAATAACAATTCCTTAAAACAAACCTAATATACTAATATTTTTCAATACCCCCGTCAAACTCATGGTGCTAAACAATATGAGTTTGCCAACAATTAGATGCAGTTGTAGACTCCACTAGGTGGACAAGCAAGAAGGCAAGCTCCATTAGAAAAACAGACAGGCTCCTCTAGACAATCAGATAGGCAGGCAGAGAAAATCAGACAGGTAGACACCAAATGGCAATGACGCGTTAGTACAGTTGGATATTAATTGCTGGTTGTTTTAAATTGCAGATAAGGTTTTACGGTTGTAACTCGAATAAATGAATGAATGAATGAATAGAGCAGCTAGCAGCAACGTTTTGCTACGGCATTGAAATCCTATATGTTTTCAATTTTCTTTGTTGTTCTTCACTTCAAATCCTCTCTAATCAAAATACAAAATACTATTGAGAGAGCTAAATGTTGATTATTGACTCAAACAGTAGTCAAAAGTGAAACAATACTTTCGGCTACTTTTGTGATAGTGGGTGTTGGTTGGCATGCTGGATGTGGGACAAACAAAAATGGATGCATTTATGCCTAATTCTTTTGACTTGATAGGAGGCCTTTTGACCATTGGTTTTTTTGAGGAGCCACTTTCTTTGGCTTTAAAAGGAGAAGCAGGAGCAGCCCGTAATATATGAGAGGAAAAAGAGCAAGAAGTCATTCGGCAGAGAAAAGAATTTTCTCAAATTTTTTTGCTTTGTATTTTTGGTTTTTCCCTTCCTATTGTAAGTGAGTGAGCTTGGGTTATTTGGGTCTTTAGGAAATTGAGTGATAAACACTATTGTATGTTCTCATTGATTATAGTGGAATACTCCTTGGCCTCCAAACTGGATGTAGGCATTGCCGAACTAGTATAAATCTTGGTATTCTTGTTGATATTTTTTTCATTTATCTTTTGTCAGTTATTGTGGTTTATTTTTTCACTCACACTTGGTTGACGTTTCCGCACAACAAGTGGTATCAAGAGCCAGGTTTCGTGAATAGTGAACTGCTACAGTATCTATGAACGGTATTGTACCTGTGAACAGTGCTATATTTGTGAAGAGTGCTTAGTAGATGGTTGGAGATAAAGATGAATCTGTGAAGAATAAGGAGTCAGGATCGTCTTCATCGGCACCTACATCCAATAGACATCCAACTACTACTACAAGGTTAGAAGTTGATAAATTCAATGGCTCTAATAATTTTGGTATGTGGCAATGTGAAGTTATGGATGTGTTGTATCAACAAGAGTTGGATATGGTTCTGGAAGATAAACCAGAAGATATTGATGACAAGCAATGGACGCGAATTAATCTTCATGTTTGTGCTGCTATTCGATCGTTCCTTGATAAGGAGTTGAAATACCCGTAAATGAAGGAAACTTCTGCTAAGGAGTTATGGACGAAATTAGAGGAGAAGTATATGACCAAGAGCGCAGAAAATCGTCTCTTCTTGAAGAAGCGACTCTTTCGATTTCAGTATCGTCCAGGTATTTCTATGCACGAACACCTAAATGATTATAATAAAATACTTGTTGATTTAGCAAACCTTGATGTGAAAATTCCTGACGAGGATAAGGCAATATGTTTGTTAAATTCATTGCCTGATGATTATGATCATTTGACAACTACTCTGTTGTATGGAAAATCCGAGGTGAAACTTGATGAGGTGTCTGCGACATTGGTGAATCATGAGTGTCGTATGAAGGAACTGAAGACTCACAATTCACAAACCGAGGCACTTGTTGCAAGAGGTCGAACAGAGGAAAGAAAATCTGGAAAGTGGGGAAAATCTCGTTCAAAGTTACGAGGGAAGTTTCCTGCTAAAGATAAATGTGTTTTTTGTTGCCAAAAGGGTCATTGGAAGAAAGGCTGCCCCAATTTGAAGAACAAAGATAAGGAGAAAGCAGGTTCTGAAGAAAATATTGCAAAATCTGG